GCAACTGGACCATCTGTCCTAATGGCTACCAGCAAACGGCTACTCGTGGACTTGACCGATGGAGGCAAATTACTCCACTGTCCCAGCCTGCTTCCCTCTTCAAACCGATACACATTGTGTACACTCACAAAATCGAATTGATCTTCTAGCTGGAATTTCATCAATGAAAAAATGGTGCTGTCAAGATATTATCTAAGTAGCCGTATGTTAGAATCAGTGATCAGACAAATTACGGCCAATTAAATGATGGTTATTTGAGCAGGAAGATCTTTCAAAATAACATGTGATATTACTGGTCAAAAGGATTCCTCGACTAAACAACCGTCTTGCATGGCACTTGTTGCATGCTGTGTGTTAGGGGTGACGGTTAAATGACAAAAGTGTTTAGCTCTGTAAAATGGTATGAATCGTCCACATTCGAGAAAGTCGCTGTGCAGCGAATAATTCTTCTCATTTGTTGAGCATCACTACTATCATACCATAAATTCCTCTGTTGGAGATTCAAATATGTCATTACATTACATTGCTTATTAGCTGTCACGCTTCTGTAACGGACGATCTTGTGCTAGTTCTTAACTTAACCACAGAATCTGAGTCATGATCTGACAAATGCACGACTGCGTATTCAGGTAAGCAGTAGACTTCGTCGTTGCGTTAGCTGATGCAAACGTTGTCGATCATTGTAACTGTCAATACCATTTTCATCACCCACAACATTTTGTTGGATTACAGAAAATTGGCAAATCTTCAAACTTATGATATTATAGAGGGCTGCATTTTTTGAAACGTCATCTTTTGTTGATGAAAACGCTTGTTTCTAGAAAACCAAAGACCACAGTAAGGTCCAGTTAATAGGGTGATCAATATGTACAAGTGTCAGCAAACCTACACAATTTGCACAGGTCACGTTCGTCACTGGCAGCACTTTGCAGGTTTCCGTTCACTTGTATCGCATAATTTTCTGTGAATTAGTTAGCAATTTAGGACAGCCTTCAAACGATAAATCAACCCTAGTATTTTATTCTACTGTATGGCTGGTTTATAACTTCATTATGCTTCAGTCACAAATCCTTAAGGAGGAACCAACTGGACAGTACGGGCTACTAGTTAAAAAACTGTGTGGTTACATGTGGCCAGATTCCAGCAATGCTACAAGGATCAAAGATCATCCCACCGTATCAAATATAATATAAATATTGGCGTTCCCCAACACGTTTGCTCTTAGTTCAGTGACTGCGCGCTGAAGTAGAATTTTGTATTCTCAAAGACCGTGCTAGTTTGGAGCAAACAGCATTTTGTAGGATATTGTGGCCCATATAAATTCACAACATTTCATTTCACCATGAAAATTATTTGGGGAAGATTTTTGCACTGGTCAATTCCAATGACAAAATGCAGTGGGCGTATAATGCCCACGGCTGGGAAGGAAAGTTTTGGCGCTTGTTTGAATTTCGGTGATAAAATTCCAATGACAAAATGCAGTGGGCGTATAATGCCCACGGCTGGGAAGGAAAGTTTTGGCGCTTGTTTGAATTTCGCGTGATAAAATTCTTTTTCTGGGTAACCGAACTCTAGTCAACATCGTATAATTCAACAGATAACGTTTGTAGAAAAGAACAGCATAAATCAGTCAGCTGTATCTTCGGAGTCTCCCGTGTGAGCAAAACATTGTTTTATGACTACATTGATCCAGTGCTCAAAATACTGATCATGAAGTGGAAAGTTGTAACACCTCTGAGGATTGTGACAGCTGACAGCTCTTAGGTGCATCATTTCTCTCCAATGCTGATTGGCCCTGCTTATAGGATCCACATAAATCAGTCCATTTGGCTGTCGATGAACGGCAAAGTTGATGGTGTCTGAACTATGACACTATGTAGATGAGGTCACTAATAAGTCAATTTTTGTACAGACAATCGACGATACAACACATGCTTTTCACGTCGCTTATATTCATATCTCATTTGAATTTGACGAGAGAGTGCGTGCACGGATATTAATTGGAAATGTTCACAGAAATGGTTTACTCTACGCCCGAAAAACATGTTACCTGTTAGAATCGCATTTTTCCTACAGAAATTCATTACGTTCCCAAAATACATCAGCTAAGTCGGTCTTTCCTATGGTCGTCTTTCCTGAGTCCTTCTTTCAGGTGCACCTCTAAGACTAACAAAAATAACAACAACAACAGTAATTCAACGATTTTTATAAGAGGTAGCCCTGAAGAAAAAAACTCACCATGAAGTCAGTAAAATTCAGCTGAATTGTGCAACCTTCAGGTTGCATGATGATCCATGTGTAACGCAAAGTTCTCGGATAGCCATGTGGGTAGCCAGGTGAAGTAAGTTGTCCCGAACCCAGGTTTGAAGTGCAAAAGTACCACGATTCAGTTGCGGCTCTATCGTTTGCTGAATTGCCTCCTAAATCAAACGAACGTTTTTCACTGTTTTGCTGTGTCTTTCTTGGTAAGATATCCGACAGAAAATTGCTGTCGTTAGTGCAGTTTCGGTCTATTGCCTCACTAGAAGCAAAAAATATATACTGCGTGCAATAAAAAGTAAGTTCTAAACCCTGGTATTTCTACATTTCTCCATGTCTGACGAAGGAATGTGCTTCTCTGTGGAGCAGGACACATTTGAAGCATTCCTTAGGTGTCTCCGGAAACACTGGGCGATTACAAATGATCTATTGCCGAAAGTGCGGAGACGCGTAGCTGAGAATGAGTAGGTTCTTTAGACAGTTTTTGTGAGCATGCGAGGGGACGCTTTATATAGTCTGCGAAGGGAGCCAAACCTAATCGATCCGACCGAAGTACACTAGTGGCTATGAACATCGTTCCAAGGCAACGGTGTCTTCTTGACAGCTCCAAGATGAGCGAATATGACATGAATACAACAACGAAAGCAATGACGGGTGTTAAGAGCTCAATTCTCCGGAGCCAGCTACCATTCATATGGTCAAGTGCAGTGTACCACCCACAATTAAACTTCCACAGAAAGTAACTGGATACTGTCTTTTGTACCCTTCTTGCAATCACACTGAATAGATGCCAAGAACTTTTTTTTCAAATTTATGTTGGAATAAAATGGAATGATTAAAATATCTTCAATTATTAACTACGGTGGAAATTGTCTGGTATCATACGCGATTTTGTAACGCTGTGCATTTTTATTTGAAAGTCTTCCACCGCAAAAACAAACATTTTCCGCTCACAAAATTAAGGTTATTTACGTTTAAGCTTGAGTCCATTTACGAACAGGGAACTCTCCAATGCCTCGTTTTAGGATTTTAGTAAGTACCTTGGGTCAAACCTCTCAGATATCACATTTGTCATCTTCGTCATAAAAATTTGTGTTGCATTGACCCAGCGCCTAGTTAGCCTGTTTTGTCCACTGTTCCCATAGAACATTCGTAAGCAGTCCAAACTGTGCAGCAGAGCTTCTCAAACAAGATTATTATCCCCGGATTCTGCGAAACATGCCCTGCCTCACAAACTACAATTTTATTTGGAAAACCGTAATAACAGTGATCTTTTACACAAAAGGGCAGCCAAGTCGAAGAAATGGCTGTTGGCAATATATGCAAAGATTTTGTGTATTTGTTCTTTGGAATATTTGAAGTTCCGCAGTAGAAGACGCTCTAAACGATCCAAACAGAAACTTCAGATAACCTCGAAGTTTGTTGCTCTAAATAGAAATACAATGTAGTACAAATATTCAGACGAAAACAAGGGAGGACCATTGTTTATGAATTTACATTATGAAAATTCCAAAATGATGAATGAGCAAAGGGTGCAAACGTGTTGCGCAGACAAATTTTCATTACTCACCGTCGTCAGGACAACCTTGGATCAAATGTGTAAATGACAGGCTTTTCACGATTAGCTTTGTGAGAACCATCAAGATTTTCATGAAAGGTAGTCATTGTTTAATATTAAATTTCACGCAATCTACAACTCAGTCGTCAAGTTTGACTTGGGTAAGACACACTACCAATGCCAGGTCACTGTTATGTCTTATGATATTCTACTCCGATTTTCTACAGCATCCAGAATAGCCAATGATAGCACACCACAGAACGCGTCACGTCTGATGGAAGCAGCCTCAAAAAAATGTTACCTCAAAGTCTGCTTGCAAATATACTTATACAACGAATAGTATTGCGCGTTATGTGCACCGTGCTATCAGACTCAAAATCCCTTCAACACAGTGGAATTTAACAATAATTCGAGACCTTTCATCTTCTGCTTTCTTCCGTCTTCCTGTCTTAACATAAAAACTCTTTTCACAGCACCGTCAAACTCACCACAGCTGCACCTATCATAACTTTGTGGATTGTAATTATCCTGGTTATCAATACGCAGTCGGCCTCTTTGTCCCATCGTACGCAACCTGTGAGTCACATCTGACGTCAAAAAAGAAGAATTTTTCACTTCCAACTATGCAATATTATCAAGATAGTTGGAGGCCTCTGATGAATTCCAAAATAAGGGTCAACATTACACAAGCCAAATTAACCGGCTTAATATAGCTAGCAATTTGTAGGGAAGCATCGACCTCTCCTTCCAATGGCATGTGAAATTAAAACAAATCGTTTAGTATTTTTAACTCGAAGCATTTCAAATGCTTCATGACTACATCGTGTACCAACAAGTCTATGCCTGAACACAATGCTTTCTTTACACTGGATACGACTAACGCTTAAATGCTTGTGCAGAATACCTACATCACACCATTTTGTGTTTGTCACTCGCATCACAGTTTAGCACACTAATTCCTACCGTTGGATTCTTACCATTATCTAACCAAAGATCTCACATTCTATTGCGAAACGTTTTGGAATTCGCCACAGTTCGTTTTGCGAAGTCTGCGAACGTGACCAAGTGCAAATCACACTGGCCTTATACTACATAAATCAGGACAAGGCTGTCTAAATGTTGCAAACGATATTATGGAACACCAACAACCCAGGTACTCACTGGGCGCCAGTTTACATAACGCCAATATCTTCATTTCTGTTCCTACGCCTCTGCACGGGGACATCTTACAGATCTTCTTGTGAAATCTTACTGCACGTTACCGTATTTGCCATTCGAATGAGGGCGGAATTGTTTAACTTTCACTGGGACCGTCTGCTACAAAATTAAAATGTCGAGTTCGTAAACAGCAATCATTTTTATTCTGCTACAGAAACACGTTTCTCATCAAACAGCGTGTTAAAATCCTATGGCAGAATAAGCTAAATTCAGACGGTTAAAAACTTATGTCGGCGGGTAATTCAGCCGTTCAGAAATTGACTTACTTCTTGAGTAGTTCGCCAAGAATCCGGTGTTCTGAATTGAATGGTCGCTAGTCATCGTCACGGTGAGCTCCGTTTCAAAGGATTGAAGTGGTGGAGGGCTTTCACTGCCAGACCAGACGCCCAAAGATCTTCTCCCCTCTGTGATATTGACGTAGTCATATCCATTCTCTAGCTAAAACCACAGCAACTCCCCATCAAAGTCACGCAGTTTCAGATGTTGAAATATCGGCAGTTTCCATCTAGTTATGTCACAATTACAGGTGTCAACCAGTTTGACTGTCAACAAATACTGGCCTTCGCCACAGCAGTCTGACAAGATTAAATAAAAAACATACCTCTGCTGTGTGATCTTCAAGATTCTCACTTCTCTGTCACCGACATGAACTTATACTTTCGTTAATTATATATATGTATAAATATACATATATATAACATTTAGTCTGGAGTTGGCGTTTTCATTTGGTGTGTAAGTCAGTAAATTGATTGTGCTTTTACGTAAGTCTCTAAACACAATATTTATCTCGAAGCACTATTCAGAATTTGTCAAATGCTTTGACCTTCAATTAGTTTATTTTTCAAATTTGCTCATCTGAATCCAGGTATTTCTCTCATTTGTGGTACTCTCTTTTGTAGAATTTTCAGCGGCCAGATAATTAGTGTTTTACGCTAAGACATTCATGCTCCCGGGAAAACATCTTCGTAAAACACATGGCTCACAGAAAAAACAAGGATGGTAATCGAGTCCACCTTGTCATTCTTTTGTTAATTGCCAAAGCGTAACAACAAGCACAAGTGCGTACCTCAGAATTTATCTCACCGAAATTCCTGCAAGTTTAAGCGGTGAGGACATCCTTTTGGTACAAGAAACTTGAAAACCCAATTGAGTTCATTGGGATACGGCTGCGGGTGGTTAGGTGACGTGATGATGGCTGCTGAGAGGTTGACTACGCAAATTCCGAGTGATGAATAAATCCCAGGTTCTATAAAGAAACCACACAGGGAAGTTTTTTTCCGAAGCAATCTTCAATGGTTGTTGATTCGAATGGTTTTGTAACAAGCTTGCATGTCTATACGGAAAGTTGAAAGGTTCGGTAAATTTATTTCGGTTGAGTAATAGCCCACCACACTCACACTTATGTCAGGCCATCGTTAGATAGCGACGGTGGTTTCCAAGCTCCGCGGTACTGGCGCGGCTCAGTCCACTTACTCAGCTTCATATCGTTCGTGATAAAAGTTTGGAAGGACAGATTCTATCAGTTTTAAGTGACTCTATCATGCACTTACTTTAAAAGGAATCGGCACTGCCGACAATTGCTTACAGACGATCAAAAACCCAACATCGTCAGCCTAGTGGGTACTTCAGGACTCAGGTTACGATGGATCGTCAGCCTAGTGGGTACTTCAGGACTCAGTGTTACGATGGATACTACTGATGCGACATGCGAGTAGGATAAGCTTTCTTGTAAATCCGCCATGACTCAACGGAAGTTAGGATTCATTAATTCATTGAGCATTCCCAAAAGGCGTCAATTGTTATCGTTCAACCTGATCCATCGTATATGTGATTACCTACAAAAATGCACGTGTGTTTTCAGTCCGACACACGATCACTCCTCCATGAAAAAGGTGACAAGACCTCAACTGTCTTTTCGAGCAAGCAACAAATATGCAAAATTCGTAATAAATTTCACACAATCACCAGATGAAATATGAATATTTTGAAATTGAATCCTTCTGTAGTTTGTGCCTCAAGCTGAAAACTTGCCTGCGACTAAATTTTGCTGGCACGTTTTCGTCAAATTTGCTCCAGCAAACGGCGCTCATGATCCTTCTATTTGATGACGAATGCTGCGTATCGGGTGCAGTGATTATGTTGGCAAAATGATTGGTCGTCATGGGGAGACCGACCAACGATTTGTCAAAGTGTGATTACCGACAGAAATGACAGCGGTGAAATCCCCTGATATCCTACATTACTGTGTTTGATGTTTGTTATGCATCCTACGTAAGTAGGCCGCAGACAAGTCATAATGCCAACCACTGACCAGGGGAAAGGTTCTGAAAACGAAAATTTTAGAAGCTACTTACAAGAACTGAGCGTCAGGCGGCCAAGGATGGCAACTGATCCCCCACAAATAAACGGCCTAAAAGAACACATTAACAAAACGGTCAAGGTCTGCCTGGCGGGCAAAGAAGCGACCGGAAAATAACTCCAGAGCAAGCTCCACGAAAGGATGCTCTTGCACAGACACTGTATTAAATCGCTGGGATTTGTATCAGCAAAAGCAATTCAACGTGCAAACACGGTGGCTAAGCCAACTAACTAGTTAATCCCCACAAATCAAAGCCGGGGATACTGTTTAGAGCATTCGAATTCCCGTTGGACAGCTACTGCATTAATGATTCTAACAACCGATGACAGTTTGGGCTCTGGAAATGGGTCATTCATCATATATCGCATGGACAGCAACTGAGCCAGCTCATTTCGAAATGGAATGGAATTTTCTAATGATTTGCCCCTCGTGAGCAATCTATCTTTGCCTGTGACCATAGTATGGCGGCCGAGGTGCCGTGGCTACGCAGTTACGAACACTGTCAACTATATAATCTGGCTTCTATCACAGTTTCGGGTTTTTTAACCAATTTCTCAACCAGGCAACATGTTTCATTTTTTGTCGATCACCACCATGAGAAATTTGATGTTTTGTTTCAGTATCTCGTGGATATACGCTCGTTTTCTGCATCGCCAGGAATCGCTAAGAATGCGTACACCGATTTGCCGGGTTCATGTAAACGCATACTGGAATTATAACCTGAAGGATGACAGACGAATCGATTTGCCATATAAAATAATCGGCCGTAACAATCAAATTAGAATTTCAAATTAAACTACTGCAATTTGCTCCTTGAAGCAATTGCCACAACCTCGACACATACCTCTCTATCATAAACTTTGATGGCAGCTGCGAAGTAGTTTATAAGTTGGCGGAATCCCTAACTGATAAGCTTTAATGAAGATGCTTGCCAACAGGTTTGCACTCAAGATAAATCACCATGCACTATGTGGATAGACATTTTACCCCGCTCTTTCGAATCAGCAAGATTTGGCGTCAGCCAGGAATCAGATGTTACCGCTTTTGAAAGACATTTTAGAAATTCCATGGAACCAGACGCCAAGGTCTCGGGAAGGTTAGAATTTCTGAAACAGTTTTGTTTCTTTGATCATTAACAGGCCGTTAAAAGATGGTAGGGTTCCATTCGGAGCAAATGCATACTACACTAAGGATGGTGTGACAACAAATTCCTAGACAGTCTCCGGTTCACTCCTTCCATCAAAATATCTCCGTCGCAAGTAACCTATTTATCTAGTTTGGAAAATTATCTTACTACCTCGATGTGTTCGTACGTATGATATGCCCTCCATATAAGGACCCATTTTCGGTGCCTTGCAGGAATTTGACAGTTGAGCAAATTGTGCTGGTTTCGTATGGATTAGATTAGACAGGCCAGTTTTTTCCAACGGACGAAAGAGTGGTTTATTCGTATCTTTAGTTGATTTCTAGAATTTATTCGGAAATTACGGTTAGATTGATTTCTGTCAGCCGTTCTCGCGCCCCTGGCGCCAATCATTGCTAGCTCAGGTGAATCAGACCAACATCACACGTTATCCAATTTGAAAGTTTCGTTTATATTGCAAGCTGTTCTACTAGGTAGCGTATATGATACGCTTCTACTGTCGTTAGTGATCAGTTGATGAGACCCCTTTCATTAGTGAAAGATATTAGTTGATCGAATTGTGCAACTGAACTTTTGGAGACGGGCCTTTTTTCATGTTGGACGCATGAATTTACTCTCTTGAATTTCGTTTAAGCACTTTAAGGTACAGTCCAGACGGTGAAGTTAAGGGCTAAATGAAATGTACTGGAAAATCTTTCCATGATGGTAATTCAGACGTAGTTTCCTAAAATCTAAGCATTTTGTCGACTCCAACTTACCAACGAATTGATGTGGCACCTGTTAAACACGTGGCATGTAATTAAGGCGTCTATATATCTGATGGTCACCAAATCATATGAATCGGGAATATTGAAATAAACAGCCCTATCTGTGACGCTAAAATTATACCGTAGGGTCATGGTTTGCGTATAATGTTGTATTATTTCACATGGACGTTGCGTAACTCCAAACATTTTTGGCCAGTTTTAAAACCTAGTACTTAAACTCTGTATTCCCCCTTCACGCGTTTTTTTTGGTTTTACATCGCTCGCATCCGTCACATTACTTTATTTCCTTACTGAATGAAGGGGGATTAATTGTGGTCATCCACTATGCATGCATATGTCCACTAAAGTCAAATTCCCCGTCGACTGGACGCCAATAATTCAAGTTGTACTAAGAGCAAAGACAACGATGGAATTTAAATGAAGGTGCACATTTTGGTATTAGCCGTGAACACCAGAAGTTACTAGAGTCGAATCAATACCAAGAAACGGATGTATGTAGAAGAGTGTAACTTGGGAGGGGGTCGTGGGTTTCTGAAGGAAGCTACCTAAAAGATTTGTTTTCTAGAGACAATAGGTTCATTTTACTGTACATAGAGTAGATCAGACGAACGCTGCATTCATCGAGATAAATTAATAAGCAAATCAGTTTCGTCATAAAATGGCGCCAGAATCTGCACAAATGAGCAGTTGCCTAGTAGATATCTTGGACAACTTGCACAGAGCCGGGTTGTTGTGTCCACACGCACGAATCCGAACGACGTTTGCTACCACAAATGACGTGTACACAATGCTCCTTATGACTAAATTAGATGGAACACCATATTAGCCGCAACGTCTCGGCAGGGACGAAAATTCCTTGAAGCGTTTGACGTTGTTTGGGAAAATCACCACGGGTTTCAGTGGGACAGAATACGAGTGACACAAGCATCACAGTGTGGATGCCCCACAAGTGAGTCTAATACCGTAGGAGCGCTTGTGTGACAGGGAGAACTGAGGTTATCACAGTTTGTCCAAGCCTTCAGCAACAACAATTGTGTACGAATGATATATGTGAATGCTGACGTCGCAAGCACGATTGGAGTGAAAATATGAAGGCATCCGTTTCAGCGTGCTGCTTTATATTGGTGTCGTAATCAAATATAGCTCCCCTTGCAATATATTGTGAATC